AAAAATAGTTCATACATAAGTTATTGTTAATATTATATCATACATTTTTTGTATTACGGTATGCATCTTTGAAGAGGGATTATGAAAAAATGGCATTTGCTTTTATTTTCTCGTTTTATATAAGGTCGTTCCAAATTAGTAATAATTAGTCTAACATAAAGTATATTATTTTTTAGTTTTTAGTAAAGCAATATACTAATTATTATTTCTTAGAAAATTAATTCTATTTAAAAAATTAGATGGCTTTAAATCTTTATTATTAATAATTAATAACAATAGCCTTTATTAAATAAATATCAATAAATTCATTTTGAAAAAATGTAAACCTCAAATACATGTGCTTATATATATTTTATATTAATGTGATAATTTGAGTCTTGCAAATGTAAATTAAAATTATTTATAATTATTATTAATTGTTAAATAATGAATTGATTTTCACACGTCATTAAAATTTTGTGCTACATCAAATAAAAATAAATTTATGATACAACAGATAAACTCTTAATTTTATAATAGAAATAACAAAATAGAATTTATTTCTTTAAAAGTTCTTTTAATTTTATTTTGTGATATTAATAAATTGCTTGATTCATACCTTTTTTAATTTCATTTTCATTTTCGAATACCCAAGCAAGATTATTAAAACGTACTATTTCCTGCTTCATAGTAATACAATATTAAGTTACTTATTCCACCGCCGGTATTTTCCTAAATATGCCGCCTTTTGATATAATTCAAGTACTTTTTTCATTTAATATTAATTTCAATTCTATTTTTGTAATAATAGCCTAAGTAAATTTCAAGGTTTCATTAACAAACATTTTCTTCAAATTCTAAGAACAGTAGTGATGATAAAGATATCCCTTCATCTACAAAGGATAAGATACAAGTCTGGACCAAGGTATAAGAGAAGGTATTAACAAAATTAATACTAAAGAAATAGTTTGTGATGAATCTTTTTAGGTCATTAATAAATGCAAAAATGAACCTTTTGATTTTCATGATAAGTATTTAGGACCCGAGCAATATAAAATAGGTCACAGGAAATTAGCAAATATTTATTATTATCTACGCATTTTTTTCAGGGCCGGAATTATAATAGTGTCAAAATAATAAATTCTGACCAACATTATCGAAAATTATCTAAAAAGAAAGGTTTTCATGGTTATTTTGGCCTATTCTACACATTTATTTCTTGTTACCTATATCAGTATTGCTTGCAGTAGTGTTCCAATCCGTTAAACCGTTATTCGTCGGATTATGGATATCCGCCAAAAAATTCAGATTATTTGGATAACAGATAATGGATAATACCGGATTGGATTTCTCGGATAATTGAATAATGGACAATAACGCATCATTCAGACGTTGTTTATCAATAATATCACATAAATTTGTTTTTATCCGGTCCAATTATTCTTCGGATATCCGACGGATATCCGGAATCTGGCAGATTTTTTGGATGACGGATGATGATCGGATCGGATAAACGGATGACGGATATCCTCGGATTGGAACACTAGCTCGGAGTCCTAAATATTTATTATTTTAAGACTGTGATATGGTGAATTTTTTTTTCGATGTAAAGAAATTTTTGTATATAAATTATAAAATAAACTTAGATGATATTTTTCTAAAAAAAATGCTATTATAATTAAATTTTATCCTGATAACCCTGATCGTGGCTTATATTTAAATAACAGAAATCTAGAGGAAATAATATTAATAGTATAAACTGTGTTGCGACTCAATAAAGTTAATAGTCAATACTCAGCTAAACTAAGTATGTAGGATTTTTCATGCAATCATAGTGATTTAAGATGAATATATTTTTAAACAGTTAAAGATTAGAATAATTCATTTTATTCCCTTAATAAGACCCTATAAAAAAATTGGATACGTTTTTTATATAGTTTTTATACGATTTTTTTTTCCTTAGAAATAACGTATCATAATAGGATACGGAAAAATGCACAATTCCGTATCACTAAAAATATGGTTTGGATACGGAATTTGCACGGAATTCATATGGAATTTACATGATTTGATCACTGACTTTATCACGAAATTTATACGATTTGGTCACTGAATTTACTATTTGTATTGCAGTTTACTATAATTATATTTACATAAATCTAATTTTACTTTATTAAATTAAATAAAAAATAAAAAATAAACAAAATACAAATACAT